AGGGCTTAAGAACAAGCTTTAAATATTTGAATAATAATAGCTGGATTTGAGTTTTGATACTAAAATATATCATATATATCTATAAAATTAAAAATTTCATCATACTAACTAAAAACGTGAATTAAAACTATATCAATAAAACATTGTTTACTAATTTTCAGAAAATATACTTCTTTCTATTAAAAATGTTTTTTCTTAAAGTTGACTAGTATGTTTCTAATATCTTCCCATTCCAAGTAAACAGAACTTTTGTTTAAAAAAAAATAATACACACTGAATACTTGTACATGTAAAAAACAATATGATTCTTAATTAAACTGATGGGAATGAAAAATCACAAGCAAAAGAATGTAACAACTACTTTTGTAGTCCAGCTGCAGCAAAGTAGTGATTTTAAATTCACTTTAACAATATATTTTATACCTTCAGCATGATTCTAATGTATACATACTTTATAAAAATACTTTATACAAATTTCATACTATGTATTCACTAGAGGTTTTTTAAATGATTCTGAAGTAGTTACATGTATAGTTATTGGGATGATAGAAAAAAAGGACAAACAAAGTATTTTTATTGTTAAATTTTTACTCAGTATTAATTCACTTTTACAAAAGTACTCATTATTTTGATAATAGACTGTGCAAGATCAGTTCGAAACTAAAACAAATACAAAGTACCAAGTACAGTAAATATGAACATGGTATTGTATTTTACCTTTGTGAGACAGGAAATTAGTATACCACATTCAATCATTACTAGTAAATACTATTTATGATTTGATTTTCAGAGTTACTAATCAATTTACATAAGCCAATAAACGCTGTGGGTAAACTGTCATTTTTGGAGTGCATGAATGGTTATATACTTTTTCTTAAGTATAGCATAATCAAATACATGCTACAAATATAGACAAAATCTTACTGGCTTAGTCCCTTTTTCGAACGATGTGGGCAGGTCCCCAATATTGATGAAATCAGAGGCAAATGGAGCATAATGATATGGAAAAAACCACTTCCATGAAGCACAGCCCTACAATTGAAGAATTTCAGTCTTACAATTTGTTATTATTAACAATCAATGGCATAAAACATAATGAATTTGTTCTATGAGAATGAGCCAAGGTTTAGTAAAATTGATAAAACACAAACATGAGACAAATCACATAAAATATTTCTCTCAAATGTTAGGTATTCAAGCAATTAAAACATTCTAAGCAATTTATACACACATACCTTTTATTTACAGATAAGATAAATTCGTGTATAATACATACTGTGTAAAAATGTACTATTATAATGACATCTTGTGATTGCTAAGAAAGAAACTACACATTTTAATTATAAAAGTATCAGACAACAAACAAACTAACACTAACTTGACGTTAAAAGTAAAAACAACAAGATCCTAGCATTTGGCAATCAAATCTAGAAAGTCTATTAGGTTCCATGTACATTTTTGGGTAAGAACCTTTACACTTCACTATAATTGATTATCAGGTAAAAATAGTAAGTACATTTTCCTAGTAGATTGTTCAAACAAATCTAAAAATTAAATTTAGATACATTTTGTTCAAAATAATAAATTTCAATGAGTTTTGTTCTCCATTTTAAAATGATATACTAAATAAATAAAGAGTGATTTGTAACTAACTAATCAACAAATAACTTTGTAATTTCAGGAGTAAATATACAGCTAGAACAGTTTGGAAGAAATTGAGAAAAAGAGAGAGAGATTTCATCCAACTCTGTTAATTTAATCTTAATACTTTATCAGTTTCACTGTACTCAAAACCATATACATGTATATTTATATAATAAAATTACAAACCTGATAATAGTACTGCAGGACCCAGCACAACCCCTCTGTGTATGCAGCAGCCTAGAAATTTTTAATTAAATATTTAATCTATTAAGTGACAAAACTATGTAATTCCATGACAATCTTCACTTATAAAAATTTTTAATGGTTTAAGTTATTACTGGACAATGTATTCACATTAAAAAAGATCCTTTTATAGTTAAACTTCTAAAGTATATAAAATAATTTCACTGTTAAGTTTCCAATGTTTTCCAACAAGCCCCTTTTTTAGTGTGTATCACAATTTAATAACTAAAAGTATGAATGTGATGATTTGAACTCCATGGAGGGCAAAACATTATGTTTAAAAATATATAAAGTTAAATTTATTAGTCTTTTCATTAATGGGTATTTTGTGAATAATTTTGTTCAACTAGAATCTCTGACAAACATCTTTTTTGTAGGGTTATTATGAAACAAGACCACTGTCCTTATAAAAAAACAAAGCTTAAAATAAAACTGTTAATCTACAGTTAACCATAATGTCTATGGTTACAATCAGGCTTACATTAGTATTTTCTTTAAAGAAATAATAAAACTCTCATGGTAAAGAAGTGTGTTATAGAGAATTTTGGTAGCTTCTAGTTTTTAAGACACAACCCAATTTAAACTACTCAGACTTTGCAATTTAAGCCAACATGTCTAGCTGAGCTTTATAATAAAGAAAATCATGAAATGGCAAGTTAATAAAAAAGACAGTATATTGAAACAGCTAACAAATATTACTTTACAGAGTTTTAATACCTGCCATAAGTTTTTGGGGTCATGTATATGTGTTTAAGTCTAAGTAGTACCCTGTGCTTTAGTACTAACTTTATGTTTTAAAGTGGCTCTTTTCTTGATTATAATGCCATATTTTAAACAGTATGTGAAACATTAGATATAATAGAGATTACATGCATATACTTGTTAAAAGTAAAAGTGTAATTTTTACAGGTCATAAGTTAGAAAACTTCAACATTTTAACACAATATTGGCCTGAACTATTGTAGTCCTAGAGCAGTGTTTTGAAACCACTAAGCCTTGCTAATATTTGTAATAAGCTACAAGGAACTTGCAAACTGGCATAAATAATGTATCCGTGAAATGCACAAGCTCTTTCAAGAAAATAAACATTTGTATACATACATTGTAATTTAATGGAAAGTTGAAGATAATATCTACTGATGAAAGTGGCAATGTAACATTCCTCGCATGGATAAATCATGTAATATCATGCAGGGTCAAATTCATCCTTAACTGACACTACTTATATTTTATTTTAACATATTATTGTAAATATTTTTTTTGTTTTTTTATAAGTCTCTGTTGGATTAATGATTCAAGTATTTAACATGTAATATGATTTATTGGTGGTCGTCAATCTAAGAGATGGCTGGGAACCACTGTCCTGGGTGAAACTGAAGCTGACAATGTAGTACAAAATTTGATAGCTAAAAAGTTTCGAGTTAACTGTTCACAACAATATAACAGTTCTCTTACTCTAATTAATAGGTTAATCATCAGTTTCACCCAATAATATAGTACAGTAACATTTGATAATCATCAGTTTCACCCAATAATATAGTACAGTAACATTTGATAATCATCAGTTTCACCCAATAATATACTACAGTAACATTTGATAATCATCAGTTTCACCCAACAATATAGTACAGTAACATTTGATAATCATCAGTTTCACCCAATAATATAGTACAGTAACATTTGATAATCATCAATTTCACCCAATAATATACTACAGTAACATTTGATAATCATCAGTTTCACCCAACAATATAGTACAGTAACATTTGCCAATCATCAGTTTCACCCAACAATATACTACAGTAACATTTGATGATAGTCTTTCCTAATAAAAAAATTTATGTGATCATAATAATCTGTATTGATTAGTGTTCAAATATATGCATCATTTACTATCTTCTGTAAAAACAGAAAAATTTGCATTTATACACAAGTAAAAATAATTTTCAAAAATTACTCTTTGAATACCAAATAAAGAATTCATCAAACATTTATATGATACATAGTCAGTGTTGATCTTGCTGCCAAACAAAAGAACTCACCACTTTGATACGAAAATCTATATTATGAGGATCCACATCAAACTTTGACTCATAATATCTTTCCTTCCATCCTTCTTCCCAAAGTCTATATCACAAAAAAATAATACTTCACAGTTATATGAGTGATGATATTATATGAGCTTAACAATATACCAAATTTTAACATCAAGAAATGTACTGAACTCTTTGCATGCCATTGGATCATACTTATTTAAGGGTTTTTCACAATGAATCCAATGAATGATACACAATTTTTAGGGCCTTTCTTCAACCAAAGATATAATAAATCAATCAGGTAAAAATTCGTTTACATTTTGTTAAATTCTCCAATTTTTATTTGTTCCTGGGAATGAATGTCTAGACTAGTAAAAGGTTTAAAATCAATATACTATACAGCTATGACATAATTATTTTTTCACTATACGCTAATCTCTTAACTATAAGAAAAACATAATAATAATTTTTCTTTTAAAGTTTGACAAACTTACAAAGACAGAAGAAAGTCAATCCAACTTGGACAATACACTGAATATTCTAATATTTTAAAAAGAACATACTACAGTCCAGTAAAGTGATATATCACCATAAAATATCTGTAGGTAAAGACTGTTTATCTTGTATTAAAAAATTCAAATTTAAAACAAGTTAATGCAGTTCTTCCTTTGGAACAAGGTTACAAAAGTTTCAAATATTGACGATATGAAAGGCTAACTGGCTTTTAAATAATAATGCGCACATATTACAATCTTTTAACTACTCCATATTAACCTTGCAGATTTCTATTACATATATATCCATGTCAAGAGAAAACTTTTCTAGTTGAACAGTTAAATAATCCACAGCTAGATGACTACATTAACAGTACGGAGTGATGAAAAAACTGCACGCTACTATGATTTTCACTGGGTAGCTAAGTGTTTTGCAAGTAGATTTTGAAGATGGTGATAGCCATATTCAGTTTTGTTGTAATGGCAATATATTTGATTTATAAAATATCTTTGCATATATTGCTTAATCCATCATCCTGTCATCCCAATTCTGAGGGTGACAATGATTCAATGCTGTTCTCTATTCGTTGCTGCCTGCTCTAAATTTCCTAATTCAAACTTCTCATCTTCAATCCGGACTCTTGCTCTTCTTTCTTTGATTTTAGCAATTATACTTTCTGCAAACCTTCCCATGAATCTAATTGTGCACCCAAAGTAGCACATTTCCAACTTCGTATATATATATCTAGCTAGTTTTTTTTTTATCTTTATTTTGTCTACTAATGTTGTATAAAAACAAATAAAAACACAAATGACACAATTATAACTTAACACAATGTTTCTCTAGTCAGCATGGCTTCATCTATAAACAAAAATGCACAATAATTCCTTGTTTTTATCCTACAATAATGAAATGTTTATCAGTGGGTATGCTAAAATTTGAAAGAAAAAAACTGTTTTCTCTGTAATGTGGAAACCATTCTATTACTAGCCAAGAAAATTGTATTCTTTACAGACCCATGCTTTAAATTTCAGGCCCCCATTTCTAGCTGCAAAATTTGTTTTCAAACATGCTTTTAAAAATAATTTTTCATGTTATTTTTAGTTATCTTAAGATTTTCCAAGTTTGGCAACAAATATGCAAAAATAAGAATGACTTATGAATCTTGATTTTTTTTTCCGGCATTGCTGAAGAGTCTAACAATAAAATAATGCAAAAATCTTAAGAATAATATTAAGAGCAAAAAAATCAAAACAATCCTTTACCTGACTTCATCAGGTGGCTCCTCATCAGAGCTGTCACCACCCTCATCTTCCCTCTTTCGTTTTTCTCCAGTTGAAGATCGAGAGTGATTATCACTTCTACCACCAGATTGAGGACTATCAGAGTCCTTAAAATAAACAAGGGTTATCTCCTTTACTATAAGCTAAATATAAACTAAGCAAAAAAGTTTCAGAGTTTTAAACACAAATAATGGGCATGACTTTTAAAAAATTCAATGACAAATACCAAGAACATCCTCCAAACTAGCCATAAGTATTAACTGTCCAACAATCATTTCAAAATCAATAAACTAAATAAAAAAACTTATTTAAAAGTAAATGACAAATAATAATAATAATACAACTTGGATTCCAGAGCAAAAAATACTTGTGACAAATCATCAACAAGAAAAAAGGACACTCTATGGTATTCAACAGTAATAAACAATCATATATATATTCTAAGATCAGAAGGTTACAGAATCAAATAAATACAGATATACTTTCATATGAAAAAAAGAAGAAAATGCTGTGTTTAGGTGTAAACATGCAGGGAGGCATAATTTTGAAATCAGCAGAGTGAATTACAAACAAAACAATTCACTTCTAATACTACAGTGTATCAGTCAGTTAACTTTCAATAAATTATTAATAAGTATAATGGAATATGATAGGAAACACAAAGAGGGTTAAGTAAAAAATTTAGTGCTATTCAAAAAGAGAAGTCTTTGAAATCCATTTAGTGTTTCAAATGTGTATGAAGATTACATTTCACTCTACAGCTATAAAGTTCTATACAATAATTAAAACTCACAAGAAAGTCCATTAAAATTGACACTGTCCAAAAATGAATTTAAACTACAAATTACTATGTGAATCAATTTGTTTTTAGATTTCGACAAAACTACTTTAAATGCTGACTCGTAAACTTGCTGAAAAAAATTCAACAATTATCTGACAACAGTTACTGACATGTATAATCTTTTTGAAAACATAGATTTTTTTTTCAAATCTAGGCTCTTTGTTTTTTGTATTACTCAACTCCTACTAACCTTTTTGAGTGTAGAGCGAAGAGCATGTGCTGCATCCAAGTTGGAATTTTTTGTTCCTGATGACGAACTGCTGTGTGATGAAGAATGCATCCCCTGAGTCCTCATGTGATAAGCTTCCTGACGGGCATTTTGTACAGGGGAAGGACGACTACCTATAGGCTGTCAATAAATAACACAACATTTTTTCAGTAAAAATTAAACTAAGCATGGTAAAGTGCTATAATTAGCCATTAGGTAATATTTGTGTTTATTTGCAACTATTTCAACAGCAATATAACCTCAATTTTGAAACATTGTAGGGAAAAACAAACCTTCTTGCCACACTATATGAATAATCTTTTGAATATATAACAACCATATAGATGGAAATTTTAACTGAACCTTAACTCTTAAGTACCCACATAATATTTACATGTACTTATGTACCACATACTAGTTTAGCAATTACAAAGAGGGAGGAAAATTTATCTAAAAACTTTTGAAAAATATTAAATTATTATTTCCTTTCCAAGTTACCAGATAAAAGAAATATATATGCAGACCTAATAGATTTTGAGTCTATCTTATTTGGGTGAGGTTCATGTACACCTCACACACATGTACTTAGAGAGTTACAAAATGAAAATATTCTAACAATTCTTTACCAGCTGAGATTAAAAACAGAAAAATACACCTCACACACATGCACTTAGAGAGTTACAAAATGAAAATATTCTAACAATTCTTTACCAGCTGAGATTAAAAACAGAAAAATACATAACAAATTTATATATGTCATACAGTGTGAATAACAAGTAATTATTTTAAATCTGTAAGCATACTAATATGTTTATTTAAAATCTGAGCCTGTCAAGCAAGAAGACTATAGGCTATAAATTTAGAATGTATCTTCTATACTATAAGTGAGTAATTTTTATTAAATTTCAGAAGCAGAAATATGGGTGGAAAGAATACCTAAAATGGGCATTTTTTAACCTTTATATCATTGGCTTATTATACAAAAAGTTTCTATAACTTTTAAACAGATATAATTTAACACAAAGTCACTTGTAGGAATGAATGCAATATCTAACGAAACCATAAAAAATTCCCAGGTCTATGCTTTATTCCTAAGTGTTCTAAAGTTACCATTAGATAGATATCTTTGTTCACCTCAACAAGAGCACAGGGAAACCAATGTTTTGAGAGACTACAAATTACTTCATTTATTCCAGATTGATGTAGATAGATTATATTTGCTCCAGAAAATCCCATTTAGCTGTTGGATCTAGCTATTTTACAAATTGAGCTTCATCAATAATTGTTCAAACAACATGGTGTGATATTATAAAAAGTTGACCAGAGGGATTGTAGAACAATAAATTCACTAACAAGGTATCAAAATCATGTGAAAAACAATACACGAGTTACTGTACTTTCAAAATTTGATAGTTGCTTAGGAAAAACAAACCTATACTTTACGATGTTCAAAAAAATTCTAAAAAAACATTGTTAACCCACAAAAGTATTCAGAGTTTTTTGAAAATAACACTAAATAAATGTTATGTAATAACAAAATATTTTTTTGAGCCAAAAAAGTGTATCAAATTCACTTTCAGATGACTCTGAAAGGACCATGTAAAAGAGGAAAAACTAACACGCACACAAATATAAACAAGCGAATTTATGGACGTAGCCACAATCATAAAGATCTTAGCAAGATTTTTTACAGAATATTTGTTGAGAAATTAATGTGAGTTTGCTAATATAACTCATCTAAATCTAAAAATAAAGAAAGTTTTTTAAACCAAACTGTAAGCAGAAAATATGGTGAACAAGAAATTTGGTATAAAGGTGATACTTAGTTTTCATAGTACCATGAATAACCCAAAGGTATGAGGTAAAATGTACAGAATCTACTTTCCTGCAGTTCTCAAACATTTATTTCTAACTGGAGTCAACTGAAAAGCAAACTTCTAACTCTTTATTTCCCAGAGTCAAGTGGCAACTGTATCAAATCTAAAATATATGAAGTATACAATAGTGTTTGGAATATCTTTTCTAGAAATGATATAATATACACTACTGGGACAGTGTATTTTGCTTTAACTCTATACTTAAACAGTTGAGTACAGAATCCATTGAAAACACAGAGCTGAATGTTAGTAGTTTCAAAATGTGTTCAAAAAAAGGGAATATTAAAATTCAAACAGAGCTAAATTTAACTTTGAGATATTTAAAATCAGCCTACTTAAATAACGAACTAGAATTCAATACTTCAACTTCACTATATATTTAACAACTGGTGGTGTTACAACTAGAATCCACTCATCCTACTTGTAGTATGAAAAGAAAAAAAAGCTGAATGTGAACACAAGCTCTAAAAGATAAAAGAAACAAAGTGGAACACACAATAAACTATAGATAATGTGAATGATTAAACAAAATTAAGAAACTGTTTCTAAAAAAAAAAGCAAAACAAAGAAATTTTCTTGAACATTAACTGAAACCTAAAGATAGCCATCTTACATGTTCATATTGGATAGTCATTACATAATAATGATAGGTAATTATTCAATCCGGTTTCATATGGAACAAAAAACATTTCAGATACCAGCAGTTCAGCATTAAACAACCAACATAAAAAAAGTCCAGAATATTTATAATAAACTGATTAGATTTTTTTTGACAAGTCATTTTCCATTGACCAGTAAGGAAGGAATTTCTGATGAATAATTATGTAAACACTATAACAAAGAGGTCTTGATTAACAATGCAAGTGAGATCAATACCAATCCTGATGTAAAACACCTTGGTGTTGAGAAAACAACTAGAAAAAAAAAGGACATTGAAATTTTGGTCTAAACATAACTGTCTCATGGACAGAAGACTAGTTGTTTTTTTACATTACTACTTTGATATTAGTCTAAATAAATTTTTAAATTTCTCAGACCTAATTTTTCAGAGGTTGGATTATCACATCCTAGAGGATAAAAAAAATTCTAATAACCTATAATACTCAAACATAAAATTCAGTTGACAAACAAATAATAATCCGAAGGGTATTTCATTATATAATAAAACAATTCAAGATCTCAATAATAAGAAAAAAATCCTGTTAAACGAAAACTACAGAAATTATGAGACAATTACAATGTTTAGTGACAGAAAGAGAGAATATGAGAATGAATTAGAGGCCAAGGAACAAGGTATATGCAAGACATTTAAAGGTGTACATACATCAGCAAAGTGTGACACTGGATGTTTAAAGTCATCTTTAAGTCAGTCATTTTTGTAGAATGACATATATTAGGTACAATTACTCAGATTTCAGCACCAGATAAAGATTTTCAGATCTGCACATAATAATATTGTCCAATTTTCTCTTGACACTTCCACACACACTTTCCATACTGGCAATGCCAGTGTTAGTTATTCAAATCAAGTAATAATAAAAAAAAGGAAACTTACTACAGGAGCAAACTGTCCTTGAGGGATCCACGCAGGTTTGTCATTCATCTAGAAAAATTAGTTTTGGATTCACAGAAAAAAAACTAGTTTAAAAAAAGAAATATAAATAAATTCAAATGACTTCACCACATGCTCAAAAAGCCTTTAGTTTTTTCCCCTAAACTTCCATTTGTTTTCATATCAAATTAAAATCTTTTACTTTTATATATATATATATATATATATATATATATATATACTA